CTCTGGGGCGCACAGCCAACCAAATTAAGTCATCATCATGCTGGTCTGTTCTAATGACAATTGCACACGTAGTACAAAACCCTCCGTTACGAAACAACGAGCCGAATATACTAAAGGCTGTTATTGCTATCAGTCAATCAAAACAGAACGAATTTCGCTTAATGTTGCGCCTCTAGGAAACACGGATAATTATGTTGCATCTCCATTGAGCGTATTGGTCCTGCTATCTGCTCTCCTCACCTCGAAGGGCCCTGAGGGTGAGACCGCGAAGGAGATCTGTGAGGCAATTGTTGGGGTGGAGAAGAGGGAAACCTGCAGTAACTTGAACTATCCAAACATTGAACAAATGCTTGGCAGAATTCGAACAGGTGTTGCAGACTCCAGAACAGAAGGTGGTGATAAGATATTATCACTTTCAAATGCCATTTTCCTACAGAAAGGTCTCCATGTTCATCCAAATTTCTTGACGGGCTTCACCAGAACCGGCATAAATCACGTGGAAGAGGTGGGAATTTGTTATGTTCGTCCTAGTTATCTTTTCAGACATTGTTTAACACATCAGAAGCGTTTGAAAAGATTAATGAATGGGCACGTTCTTCCACGGACGGTCTTATCGAGCGATTTTTAAGGTCGAAAGACGAATTAAGCTCCGACACCCTCATGATCCTTTTGAACGCCATAGCTTTCAAAGGTAAGTAAATTTTTGCTACAGAGAAAGGCAAATGCTTTGAGAAGTACAGATTAATTGAATTTTATTTTAGAAAATTGGGCAAAAACTTTTATGGTGGAGAGGACGATGAAACGCAATTTCTACCTCAAGGAAGATGCCTTCGTAGAGGTCCCTATGATGCATTTGGAATCTCAAATGGTTTACCTAAAGAATGATAAATATAGAGTTGTTGCGAAACCGTTTAGAGTAAGAATATTAGTTAAAATTTTTTTAAGTGAATGGTTGCAAAGGAGTATACATTCATGTTTATGGTCCTTATTACCTTAGAATGATCGCTTCAAGTTCCTCATCTTCCTACCGAATAACCGATTTAATCTGGACGAAATTGAGGATGATCTGAA